GGTAACTGCAGTAGGTACCTATAAAGTATAAACTATACTATATTATATTATTACTAATGGTACTATATACCAATGTAATATAAAATGTTCTTTATATTATTTCCGTTAGTTTTACGAGTTAAAAAATAAGTTATTTTAGAGTGTCATTAAAGTACCGGAAATAAATGTATATACTATCAAGGTAAGCTATATTTAGTATACCTACAAACACACACATATATATATATATAAAAATAGAACTTTATTACCTATACTTATTGTAATACTTATTAGTATAACTAAGTAGAAAACATTTTATAATACCAAAATTAAAGTAGATAAATACGAAATAAAATGTGATAGGTACAATATAAGCTTTTTAATGTTTTTTTAAGTTCTAAAGCAGTATACATCAGCTCTATTGCTTATACGTTAAGGACACGACATAGTTATTATTAAGTAAAAATAAAAACAACTAGACCGGATACAGTGATCGGATGTTGGATTTTGTATATTATTTTCTTCCTTCGCTTACCTCAGTGAATGATACTGGCTTACAATAAGTATACATTTGAAGTATGTTATGATAAATATTGCTAAATCAATAATAATTATTAGATTGAAAAACGATGTCGTTTACTACCAAATGTATAAGTTATAACAAAGTTTTAAACATTTCAAACAAAATGAGTAGAAATAGGTAGATTTTATTTATTAAGAAAATATATAATTATAATTATTGAAAATAATTGAAAATTACTTAATATTAATACTTATGAGATAAGAATAGATAAAGCCGTAAAGGTAATCTAACATCTTGCAATCGATTTAAAGGTATAATACATATACCTCAATGTTAAAACTTAATAAAAATTTTAGAAAAGTATTTTGTGTTAAATTTGAATTCAATTATTTATTATAACATACGAAAAACGATTGTGATCGAAGGCGGTTTATAATCGTACCTAATAGGTATATAACCAAGTAGGTACCTACATTTTATACCTAGGTTATTAGGCTATTAATTCTAACTTCAACGATAAAGGTAACACGAAATATTTCGAACCAACGATGCTGAATTTAATTTGGTGTTTTTTTACTGCATAATATATAAAGTTATATTACACCTATTTTTTAAAACTTTACGTCTCTCCCTTTTTGAATTACATTAATTTATTTAAGCCACTTTAAGTTGTTATGTTTTTTCATATCTTAAAAATTGACTTATTGAGAGTGAGTTCAAGTTTCGATTTGTGCATGTTGTATTCGTATAGGTATTATTATTAACCAAAATACATCTTATTAATTAGGTACTCACTATAAATTTTAGTTAATAATTTTATGAAAATAATGTAAATGTGTTTATTACTTATGAGTTATTGAGTTACGACACTTGTTTTCAAAAAAAAAAAAAACATACTGAATCACACTGATCATTGTACAATTGTTCTAGACTGTTTAAAAACATAAGATAAATAAAACATGATGCATAAATTGAAACTTTACCTCACTCTCAATAATTCATCTTTTAAGATGGAAAAAAACTTTATCATTCAGTGTTACTTTAAAATATTAAAGTAATTCAAATTCAAAAGGGATACGATATAAAAAAAGGTGGGCAAGTAGGTGTTGCTCTGCTGTACAGTGGGTTACAAGTGGGTCACTGTAATGGATGGTGTGAAATTTGAATTCAATGATTTATAATATCATTGTATAAAAAAAATGATTTTGAGCGAAGACGGTTAGTCAGCTAAGCAGGGGCGTCATTTCAATTTTTTTTTTGGTACGCATAAATATTGAGCAGGCCACTATTTATTTTTTTTCTTGACATATTTTACATTATTAATATTATAGTAGTATAATAATAATAATTATAAAAATAAAGTAAAAATACCTAATACGAGCAGTAAGCAGTGCAAAAGCTAGTCAAATTTAAATAAAAACAATGAACAATATAAAGCAATACAATAGATATGCACAGAATAAATCAGGAAAATTAATTAAAGCATAGGTGATTATAATGAATTAAAATTACATGTTTATTTTTATTTTTTAATATTAATTCATACAAGAGGATACCGCCGTGTCTTCATGTTAGAAAACATAATTAAAGCTTCTTGTAAGTCAATACTATTTGCTTCAGTTGATTCAACGTTAATCACCATCAAATCATTTAATCTATCATCGTTCATACTTAAGCGCAAAAAGCTTTTGACTCTTTTTAAAGATGAAAAAACTCTTTCATTAGAAGCAGTAGTACAAGGTAACGTTAAAATGATTGAAAGTACTTTAAGAGTTTCAGAAAATGCTGAAGGAAGTTTTGACAATGAGTTAGTAATTGTTGTGATATCAATATCATTTTTTTTTTCTAATAATATTTTTGCTGATTGGAACTCAGAAGGAATTTTCATTGTATTTATTTTAAAATAAGCATAATGTATATAATCTATATATAATCTATATAAGCATAAAATATAATATAATCTGTGATAATACTAGACCGATGTTTGATAAAACGATAACAGCTGTTAATGAATTCCAGTATACCACGATTACATTACCCATATAGTGATTTGTGGTTACTAGTAATAATCATACAACGGTTGTTTTGTAATTATCTATAAAGAAGTGATCAATCAATCAATTAGGTATCAACTATCATAATAATTAATATTTACATATTAATTTATTATTTTAGTATAATTTTAATTTTTTTTTTGTGATGGGGCCGAGCGGGCCATGTGCATGTGCCTTGCGGGCCAAAAATTACAATTTAGAATTTTAGGTACGCAAATGTATACCCTGCGTACCGCAAATGACGCCCCTGCAGCTAAGTATATTTGATTATATTATTGTGAATAAAGTAATTTACCTATATAATATAACCATTGATTTTATAATATTATATTATAAAATTAATGATATAACCTATTTACTTGGAACCTTGTTTTAAATTTCCAATCCTTAACTATAAAAGTTGAACATTTTATACATTTTTAACTACAAAATAAATTTTAAATTTTAAATTTGATACATTTTGTCAAAATTCGAACTTTAAATACTTATAAAAAAAATGGTGTTTTTAATATTTTTCAAAAGCTGCAAAAGTAACAATATATTAGGACTCAGGAGCCTTGATTTTTCAAGCTTTTTGACCCAACAAATACAATTTTATTGTCATTTATAGAAAAAAAACTAAAAAATTACAAATTGAAAATGTCCGTAAACAGCTCGAAAACAGACAAAATATTTTGAAAGAGTTATAAAGTATAGGAATTGATAAAATAAGCATATGATATAAATTTCAAGTGTCTACGGGAATTGAGAAGTGGGAAGTGTCTCGAGAAATAGAGTGAAAAACAAAAAGTGGTAATTTTTACTCAAAACCAATTCTTGAAAAAAATCGATTGGTGTAACTCAGAAACAACAACACAGTTTTCACTGTATATTTTTATTAGCATTTTCCACGAACGGTAAAATTTTCGAAATATTTTGATCTTTTTGAGCTAGTTCGCATATCCTGCGAACCGCGTTCACCAGACACTTCCAGACAAATCGCCTCGACCCAGGGGCGAACGCAGGGGGGGGTTTTAGGGGTTTAAACACCCCCCGAAATAGTAGGTACAAAAAATAAATTATCTGACCTACAAATGTATTACTAATAACATTTCAAAAAAATTAAAATAAATTATTAGTTATTAAAAAGTTTCCCTTCTCCCGTGGCTTGTAAATTAATGGATACAGTAAAATCACCAATAAAATGTATGATAATGCAGTTTCGAATTGAGTATGACAGTATGTTATAACTTATTGATGACTGATCGACATCGAAGGCCGCCAATCCGATGATGTACGTAATGTAGACAGACGACGAGTGTAATTGCCGTCTATCGGAGTCAAACCTCATGCCCTGCTTGCATCGATAAAAACACCTCAATTTATTATGGCTTTAACAGTAGTAAAGCCGATTTTCAGCATAATGAAAAATCTCAGTGTGTTTTTACAAAAGGAAGATTGTGATCTTAGCTTATGCATTGATTATGCAAATCACGTGTATGATGAAATCAATGAAATGCGTTGTGATTCGGACTTGAAATTCAAAAGCTTGTATGCAGCAGCAAAAGAAATGGCGGACAAATTGGATATTAATTTAGCACCCCCGCGGAATATTGGAATACAGAAGAACAGAGACAATTATGAAGGCGGTCCAGAGGAATATTTTCGTCGGTCCATTTTTCATCCTTTTTTGGACCACTTATTAATGCAGTTAAAAATAAGATTTCTTGAACACCGGGAACTATTGTCAAAAATTCAAAATATTCTTCCAACTAAGTGTTCTGAGCTGAATACAAAAGAAATCAGTGAAACGGTAAATACTTTTGCAAAAGAATGGCCAATTGACATCAAGGGATCTACTGATGATTTTATAGCTGAGATGACCATGTGGCACAGGTAACAAAATATTAAATTTCTTATACATAAAAATATGTTTTGAGATCTATATTAAAACATAAAATGCATTGTTGTTTCAGACATTGTTTAAATATGTCAAAGGATAAACGGCCTAGAACATTTATTGAGACTCTCAACTATTGTAATTCTGCATTGTATCCATCAATACACACATTTTTGCAGATTGGTGCAACTCTACCCGTTTCTGTAGCAACAAGTGAACGGTCTTTTTCTTGTCTTCGAAGATTAAAAACATATCTGCGCAACAAGACTGGTGAGGAGCGATTAAATGGATTGATGCTATTAAACTTATACAGAGACGTGGAAGTGACTTGTGAAGAGGTCATTGACATAATGGCAAAAAAACCAAGACGCATAGATCTCGTTTTATAATGTAAATTGACAAATTGTAATAATTAGTTATTAATTATTATCTATAATAATATTATGTAATATGTATTATGACATTATGTATTTATGTATATAGTATAAGTGACTAAAATAAAATATAGAAAAGTGTAATACAGTATGAATAATATGATATTTATGAATACCTACTTAAAATTTTTTCAAAACCCCCCGCGAAATTTTTTCCTGCGTTCGCCCCTGCCTCGACCTCTTTCACACGGATTTTCTACGATCGCGGTGCAGGTGTCTGCGGGAGTTCCGATGAGATGGTTTTTGATTAGCCGTACAGAGGCTACTGAACGCTGAGCTCCGGGGACGACCAGAACGGTTCTCTCCGCAACGGCGGAAGTCCGACATCCGCGGATATCTTCCATCTGTCGACTGCAAGGTCCGTTTGATCGTGTACCGGACATGACGTAGAGGTCGCGGCGAGTGGGTGTCTTACATCTCCACCCGGCTATTTGATTCAGCGTTTGATGGGGTAATCATCGATACCTTGCAGTACACGGGCGAGTCCATAGTTTTCATCTTCTGAGACTATTGGAACAATTGTCTGAATCCATGTGGTAATGGCCGAAACCCGAAAGGCGTCGCCATTTTTCGATCGACGGCTAAATCGAGCACGTCGATCAAGGAGCGAAGTTCAGCAAAACATTTGTACCACCGACGGCTTGTAACTTCTATCACGTTTATGTCCATTTCCGACTAGACTTGACAAACAAGAGAAATTATTGTCGAAACGGGTTTTGCAAACGAGCTTGCGCCCAGGTGAAGGGATACATTATACTATTATAGTTCCTACGTCCTACATACAACATAATAATTTTACAGTAATATACAGTTTTAAATAATAAGTATATTACGTTAAGGGAATTTATATAAGAGGGGTTTGCTAGCTTCATTAAACGATTAAACGGTTCATTTGATATATTATTATAATTGAGCAGTGAGGAATATGAAAAATGGTTTTCTAGCGAGTATAACGTGAAGACTGAAGGCCCTTTAAAATTAACTAGTGAGAGAAGAGACGGAGCATCAATATCCGAAGAGATGCGTTTTGTGAGGAAGGAAATATTATGAGAGTGTCGACTGTCGGTAATGTGGTTAGGTTGAGTTTAGATAGGACGGGGTAATAGTCGTGAGGTGGGCACTGCATTTTCAAAGCGTATGCCTGGCTAACCTAATTTAACTTTATCTAGTTATAACTGGCATAGCCGAGGAATTTCCTTTGGAATCCTTCAAAACCACTGAACCATAATCGAGAATTGGTCTGACGAGAGCGCAGTAAAGGGGTTTAAGTGAACTTGCAATTTTAAATTCACTTGAAATTCTTCTATTGAATCCCAATAATAGTTATAAGCTTTGCATATAATGCTATTTAAGTGTGAGCAGGAGAAAGGGAGGGCGGGAATATAACGCCTAAGTGGCAAACACGGTTATCTACTCTAGACCGTGGTGTCAACTGATAAGACTCCAGTTCCATTAATTAAGTGGGTACCTAGGTAGCAGTTATTGGAGACCGACCTCTTGTCAAGGATACCATCCAACGACATTTCATTATTGTGTACTGCACTACTGCACAATATACAGATATGAACATTTGTTGACTTTTTATGGAGGTACCTATATCGATACAGTTACCTATTCATTTTTGAGTTACGCCAAAAGTTCAATATCGATTTTGTCATAACGGGTTTTGATTAAAAATAAGTAATCACCAATTTATTTTCCTTATTTTTTTTGTTTATCACAGTTATTTTTAAATCATTATTTATTGGGAATTTTTACTTTTCACCCCCTCAAAATACAATAATTAGAAACAATTTGCTACCACAAACCTCCTTCAAAGTTGAAAAGCAAACAATGTTTACAGTTTTCTGCTCCAAAAGGTAAACACTGCAGACGAATAAAACACATCATTGTAAAATCAATATGACATTATATTATTATCCATTCATAATCAGCTCCACTCATAATCTAAAAGCAAAAGGTAGCTGGTAGGTTTATAGATTTCAGTACCTACTTAATGAGTAATGGGAAAAAAAATTGTAATAATGAATCTTAAAATAAAATTGTTGTAAGATTGGTAAACGTTCTATATATCTTAATAAACTAATATTATAATATATGTATATAATTATCATACCTGTTTAAATATTTTAATTTAAACGTTTGCCGGGTTGCCTTGGATGTATTTTTTTTTTAATAAGATGGAAGATTCGGATCTTTTTAATTTGTATGCTTTACGCGAAAAAAAATATTATGAAAATTAATTGTGTTACTGACCTACTAAATGCAAAAGAGGAGACTAACAGAAGCAGAACTTCTGAAATTTAAGTTATACATTTTTTATTATCAATGTTTTTTTCTAGTAACCTTGCAATTACGTGATTATAATATTGAGGATTTTGGAATGATAACATCTTCGTACCGTCTTCCTGCATAGCTTGAAACGATTTTGACATTCTTTTTCTTATTTGCAGCTAAAAAAAATTAATTCAGTGTCGTTTTACACTCTAGAATTACTAATATAAAATATACCTTATAAAAAATTTCCAGTCCTCAAATTGAAGCGTAAAATAAATAAAAACCTGTTGTTTCAAGTCACCAGTTCATGTTGGATGGCTTGAAATAAATAAATATAAAAAAAAAGCGGCCAAGCTCGAGTCGGACTCGAACATGAAGGGTTCCGCAGCAGAAAGTAACGTAAATAATAAGTCGTTTCGTTCGGCCTGCACGAACTTTGGCCGCTTCACCAGGTCCAGCAGAAGTCTTATCTAATTTTATAATAATATTACCCGCTCGAGTAAGTGCAGTCGGGAACCTGCCCCTCGCGAATTATAATTATTATTTACTTATTAAAAAAAAAGCTACTCACTAGATCTCGTTCAAACCGATTTTCGGTGAAACTTTGAGTGGTAATGTACATCATATATTTTTTTTAGTTTTATCATTCTCTTATTTTAGAAGTTATAGGAGGGGGACCCACATTTTACCACTTTGGAAGTGTCTCTCGCGTAAACTATTCAGTTTAGAAAAAAATGAAACCTCAATATAATTTTTAAAGACCTCTATCCATAGACACCCATATACCCACGTATGGGCTGTATGAAAAAAAGTTTCAGTTCCAAGTATGGGGAACCCCCAAAATGTATTTATTTTTTCTATTTTTGTGTGAAAATCTTAATGCAGTTTACAGAATACATCTATTTACCAAGTTTCAACAGTATAGTTCTTATAGTTTCGGAAAAAACGTGGCTGCGACACCCGAAAGTACAGACAGACATGACGAATCTATAAGGGTTCATTTTTTGATACAGAATCCTAAAAACATCCATATTCCATATAGTTGCATTGTTACAAGTCACATTCAATTTGTATTTTATGGCAACAGATAATCTTAAGTTTAAAATAAAGTTTTAATACTTGTATTGAGTTAATATTTTTTTGGACCAAGTTCTATCAAAAATATAAAATCTGATAATTTAACATTAGGTACTCATAACACTTTTGATGGTGATTACGAAATGGCTAAAATGTTGATATAAGACTTTTATTTTATTTTTCGATTTTATAAGTAAAATCACAAGATTGCAGATGAGAATATTTAGTACCTATCACTAATACACAAATAGTATTTTAATCTAAGAATGGTTTACTTATTGCTAAATATCAGAAGTATATTATTGTTATATTATTACCTATATTGATTTGATAAATAAAATTAGTATGTAATTAGAGTCAAATAAATGTTGCTATGACAAAAACAAAAATAATTTGTGTTTACTATTTTTCATCTACCATCAATACTAAGTACAAAGTACATTTAATAATATGATATAACTCCAAATAGGGGATACTATTTTGGTTACTCAGTAGAGTGTCCACTATTTAGAGATTTTTTAGAGTTCCTCATAATAGTCTTAGAACAACCAAGGTCAAACTCAATTTTTAATTTTACTTTAAAGTATAACTGTCAGCAGAAATTTTTAATTTTTAAATTTAAATATATTCAATCTATTTACAAAATAAAAACAATAAGTAATAAGGATAACATAGAAAAGTATATGCAAATATGAATCGAGTAAAGAGGAGACCGTTCATTAACAGAACCTCAGAAATTATTTTCCCTTATTTAAGGAGATCTCTAGACCAGTCTCTTTTTAATTGATTGGGAATTTGTGTTAATGTTAGAGAGGACATGTTTGTAATAAAGGGGATTATGTAGTTTGTTAATTTTGAATGGAAACTTTTATGGTGGGTTTTTGCAAGCTCGTTTACTGTTTGTATTTTTAGGTCATTATGGAGGGCTGCATTTGTTATGTGCCATGGAGCACCGGTGATATGTCTAAAGGTAATTGACTGGAAGGCTTGAATAGTGCGAATGTTTGCGGGTTTTGCTGAGCCCCAAATTTAGATACTGTATGACCATACTGGCATGATGATTGTTTTGTATAGGAGTAGTTTGTTTTTTAGTTAGATTTTAATAGAGGTCCAAGTAGATAGAGGCAAGAGTTAAGTTGTGTTCGTTTTTGCTTGGTGTGGTTTGACCAGGTTAATCTTTTATCCAGAGTGATACCTAGGTATTTGGTTGACTGTTGAAGTGGAATTGGTTTGTTATTGAACCATTTTTAATTATAAACTTTTTATTTGTAAGTTTATGATAACAACATAATAAAAATAAAACAATAATAATAATAAAAATAAAACAAAATAACAAAAATAATTAAAATTAATGAAAGGTGTACAATGTACATATAGATGTTATTACGATACAAATGTGTAGTTAACAAAACAATCTTCGATAAATTAATATCAATGTAAAAATATATTTCAATTAATAGGCAAGTTATTATAATATTATGTGTAAATGGCAAATAAATTTTTATCAAATAAAAATAATAAAAAAATTGGAAATCTTAAATACATTATCAATGAAGAAAACTTGAATTTCAAAATTAAGTGCATGTTAAAATATCAATTTTAAAATACTCAGTAATGAGCATTATTCAAAGAAAGTCAACCAATATTGTTCACATTTTTTGTGGTTATGAAAAAAAAATAAAAACTTTAATAGACTAGTACATTTAAATATTTAATGTTAACTTAAAATAAATAATTTGATTGATGCTGAAATTGGTTTTCATAGATTGAAAGCTTATGCGCAAAAGCATTGAAAATATAGGTTTCAAATTTATTTAAAATTAAGTGAAGCTAAAAGTTGTTGACCAGTAGCCATGACCATTGATTTAATTTGATTTGCTTGGTTGATTTTTTGGCAAGTAATTACATATGTTTGATACATATCATGCCCTATATTTGTTGAACTTTCTTCTGGTAGTACACTACAAAGGTCCTCAACGCACATATTATGTGACAAATACTCCAACATATCTAAAAACAAAATGTATGT